GGGGGGGGGGGGGGCCCATAGGGGCATATTCTCCCCCCAAACTTAAAAAGTGGTCCTTTCCCCCCCCCCCCCCCCCACTTTACCCTAATCAAAATAGCACAATTTGCAATACAAGGCAAAATCATGAGTTTTTTTTCATCCCTATACCTGAAATATTCCAGTAAACTTGTTCCTGACTTCTACTAGTATCTATATTTGCTTGTGCTCCCCCCCCCCCACACACACACACACACACACACACACCTCCATCAGGGATTTGCCAGTTTGTAGTCATCTAAAACCTGACAAGTGTGAATCTAACCACCGCAATTAATGGGCTTTTCTGAAAAACACCAGGAACAGAAAAACCAATCAAATTTGATTCTACCAGAGAATCCCTTTTAAAAGCCAATCTTCTTTACAGTATGCAATTTACCTTCAGGAATTTGCCTGATCTTTTTTATGCTGGCAATTTTCTCCATTTAACTCCCAGCCTGTTGCTTGGTAAGCCTCATCATCCCATTATACAAATTATGTTGCTATTATGGGGAGTTGTTCATAAAATAGAATAATTTCAGTTACACTGGATTGAATTTTGAAAAGGAATTATAATGGCCTAGCATTAAATCATGAAGAATGGATGATTATCGCATTCACATGTGCAAGAGACCTTTAGAGAGTGTCATAAATGCCAAGGCTGTCAGAAAACTCCATGATTACGTGAGAGATGCAATCCTATTCACCTCTAGGTAACCACGAGAGGATCAGTATAACCTGCCATGGGCATTACACGTCCATCATCAGAGCCTCACTTTCAGTATGACGTTAGCCTCATTATCAAATCCCAAAGCCTAAAAATTACAAAAGTGACATACACAAAAACTCTCTATTTATAACATGCCTTCTATGATAACCTTATAAACTCCATTAGAATTATCTAGTATTTTAAGGAATTACGTGCCTCATAAAATTCCTCAATGACCTGTTGTATACTAAATGATTAGGTTAATGCTATCTATGGACCTGCATGCCGTTCCTAGTCACTTTTGGTCCACCAGGCACAATACAATCCATTTTACACCTTTGCATTGCCATGGCAACAGGTCTGTATCAAATAAAGTCATTGCAACCCAAAGGAAAACATACTTCTATTCAAATGACAATTTTGGAAGAAGTCCACATTAAAACCATCACAATTACGTAAAACTCATCATTCTTTAATGAAACGGTTATTGCTTTATGCAATCCTAACCAGAGGCCATATAAGATACTTAACAATGAGAACACCAATATTGTCTGCCACAAAAGTGAAGGCATTAATTGAGTTTTCTGACAGTGTAATGCAATAAAAGGTTTTAACTCTGGCGTGGTGCCAATGACGTCTGCGACACAGAGGCTTGAGCTTTGTATTCCCCACAGATGGAGCCACGGTGCAATAATTGTTGGAGCTTGGAGTCCAGTAGTTGTCTGCTAAAACATAGCAACTATGACAGGGTTCCCTAAGCTAGACCCATCTAGCAGGATCGATCCATCTCCGAGAGCTTTCTTGCTAAATTGCTCTAGCTTAAGCGGCTTAGATGTCTGGCATGCCTACTGAAGCTGCTCAGGGGCGGATTTAGGCCGTCTTCTGGGTCTTCCGGAAGACGGTCAGATTTTCAAGTTTACATTGACGGGTATCTAATTTTTTCTGTCGAAAGACGGTCAAAAATGGAGGATGGATCAACAGAGATAATTGGGAAGACTCTCAGAAAATATCTCTGGCTCCGCCTGAGCTGCTGATCGATAATTAATTAAGTACCCCCTTGCAGCTTCAGTATAGTCATGACTGACATCTAAGCCGTTTAAGTTGATTGCAATTTAGCCAAAATCCCCTTGGTGATAAATTGAACCACAGTTAGTGCAATAGGATCTGGGAATGGTCCCCTAATGTATCTACATAAGGCATTTCAGGTCTGTAGGCTGGGAAGGTTGGTAGGGGGCTCCGAAGAACAACCCTTTTGACCAGAGGAGGTCTTCTCTGAATGGCAATTTCTTCTAGGTTCTGTGCCATTTTTCAACTCAAGTTAGGTCAAGTAAGCGGGTTAAAAGGTCCACTTTTTCAGAAGAACCCC